ATATATACTGTATATATTCTGCAATAAAAAAAATAGTATTCTATATGTACAATGTACTTGTGTGGGAGTGTTACTCAGTGAGAGCTGAACCTTGCCATAGAATTTCCATTCCTCCTCTTGAATTCTAGTCAATAGAAGTTTCCTCTCTGTTATTGTAATCCCAAAGGTTACTGCCAATTACCCAGCCAAGACACATAACACCACATGATTTTTCACTCACTGTGAAGGTGCCAATGATGTCTTCATTACATTTACAGTCCCTATAAGTCTTCGTAGAAGGAAAGGTTCTTAAAGTGGTACCTCAGCACATTGAGGAATGAGTGCCATGAATGTTCCTGTTGTGTTGGACCTTGAAGAGCTGCATAGGTCGATTGTGAATTGCTTTTGTTCATTGGTTCTTGTTCTTCTTAAAGGGGTCATATGATGCGATTTCAAGTTTCCCTTTCTCTTTGGAGTGTTACAAGCTGATTGTGCATAGATCAACATATTCTGTTACACCAAATACACAAAATAATGATCTTTAAAAAAGCATCATATGACCCCTTTAAAGTAATAGTTCACCCAAGAATGAAAGGAGTGATTCCAAACCTGAATATACTGTACTTTTATTAAATGGAAAAGAGCAGCTTGGACATTCTGTGAAATATTTACAGTTTAATATATATAACATATATATATATATATATAATGTTTTGCTGCTTACGAGAAATTTGTAATGAAGCAATTACAGTACATAGTTGAGTTAATGCGGAAAACTCATAAAAATAAAACCTGAAGAGGTAGCTACCATATAAGCATAAAATGTCTTTCCCTCATTATGGGCTGATATGAGAGCTAATTGGCCTGTCCCCAGACCATTTAAGTGTCTGCTCAGCCGTTAATTTGGTATTAGTTCGGAAGTGGCTTGCTGTTAGAGTGGAATCTGTTGATGTGCACTTTGAGACCTGTTATGTTTCTCTACATTTATTACTTTTCCATCCCTCCATCCTGGGAACATTTGTAAACCGCTGGGATTGTACATGCTGGTTTCACTTTGTTCCTGTGACTCATTGGCAGACACATTGAATGCAAAAGCAAATTTTCATTTCATTATGTCAAAAAAGAAGAACGTTACTTTTGTAACGAGAACCAGCTTATGGTCATTTAATAGCTGTTTGTGGGAAATTATTAAGTTCCTTTAGAATTACTAAAGTTCAGAGATTATGATAGATTTTCTTTTGGCTCTGTATGTGGAAACCCCCCAGGATATGATTAAGCAAATGTTTGAGAAGTGACTCCCTTAAAGGCACATTATCCTTGCTGTAATTTACCTCCTCTTGTTTGACAAACTATAAATGGGAGTGTTTATATCCTTTCGCAACACTCAATCCCTCTCTCTCTCTGCTTAGGGACAGAAAGGCCATCCTGGTTCCTTTGGCCACCCCGGAGATCAAGTGAGTTCCTATGCCATTACTTTTTTTTTTACTTTCCACAAGAGGAGAATTAAAGGAATTTATAAAACTAGAGGATTGATAAAACTGATCTTTACATAACCAAAGTAAAAATCCCAAAGGTGCCGTCACATTCACCATTGCTTTGCAAACTTTTGAAGGCCAAATCCATTCATTGTGAAGTGAATTGGGAAGGCTTTCACCTGATAGAGTTTCCCTGAGCAATTTTTGTTTGGGGTTGGCAGAATAGCTTGGTTTTTTATTATGTCATTATTCCCATTATTATATCTGTGGCTTTCTTTTGCCTGTGAAATTTGACTGTGCAAATGTGACCACACTTTAGCTCTGAATATTATCTTGTCTGCTTAGTAGACATGATGATTTCAGTTGGGCTCTCATTTAGAACTTTTCAGATCCTTTGAGACCTAAGATGGAATGTATGTGTACAGCTCGAGTACTTTTTTTTTTAACTGCACATAAATTTTAGGATTAAAAAAGTAGCAGACTACAGATTCACAAAAATTATTAAATGCATATTTTTTTTGTTGCAATATTTTAGTGACAGTAAATTAATTGACATCCCTTGTAAAATATGCATGTGACAACAAATCTTTCATCTAACCAGAACACTTTGCTACTCAGTTGAGATGCATTCCAAATGATCCACACTTGCATATATAATCAATTACATGCTTAGCAATGGACACAACGAAAACTAAAAAGAGACTGTAGAACTGATTAAACATTTTTTTTAAGTTTTGGCAATCTAGACTTTCCTCAAATTTCTGGAATTGAATTTCTGGAATTTAATGTTGTTGAGTTATAGTAGTATAAAAATAATATCTAATGCTTTCATCTTTGTTTCATAATCTCACAATTCTGTGGTTGGCCACACATGCTCCATTTTTGTCATATTGACAAAAATGGCAACACATGAAAAAAGACTGAAACTATTTACAGACACGCAGAAGAAAAACATGTTGTTTTAATAGAAAGGCCATTCACTCCTCTCTCTCTCCATTGTGCTTTTTATCTTTCTTTTTGTTTGTTATGGCTTTCCACAAGAAGAGCTTCCAATGCTAATGACGTTTATTGTAATGGATTTTTTCCTCCTTATATTCTGTTCATTCTCTTCTCTCCACAGGGAGAAAGAGGACCGGATGGAAGCCCGGGTGCCAAAGGTTATCCTGGCAGGCAGGTGCAGTAAATCTTCTGTTGTGCTGCTGGCTTGCACAGTACTCACCGACACGAGTATAGTGAGACTAGTAGTAAAGTGTCAGAGCTTGTATTGGAGACTAAAACAGCTTGCTCTGCCAATATGACCTCTTATTTTGACATCATTTTTGAAAAATGAGAATTGTTTTTGGAATTAACAGGCAATGAAAATGAATTTTATTTTTTTAGCTTAGTGTGCTAGCACTAAATTAATCATTTTTTGGTGCTAAAGGCATGAGTGATACCTGATCTTTGGAAAAGTCATTTGCAAATGATGATTCTCCAACTTTTGATAGATGTTTTCCCTCTGCTGAGTCTGCATGTGATCAGCCCCAGCTTTTCCAGATTACCAGATTCACATATTCAGGGAAACAAATACAACTTACTAATTAAACATTCTGGTAGTTTCCAGTCTTGCATAACTTCACAATGAGGCATGTTTTAGAAAATCCTATTGGAATTTAGATTTGCGTAGATTTTTTTGCGGACTTTAAAGAGAATCAGCTGATTTAACTTTTTAAAGGGATAGTTCACCCAAAAATGATGGCATTTAATCGCCCTCAGGCTGTTCCAAACCTGTATGAGTTTCTGTCTTCTGTTGAACACAAAAGAAGATATTTTGAATAATGTTGGTAACCAAAAAGTTGACGGTGGCCATTGACTTCCATAGAATGGAAAAATACTATGAAAGTCAATGGGTACCGTCAAATGATTAAATGCCAGAATTTTCATTTTTGGCTGAGCTGTCCTTGGCCAAGGTTGGTTAAATCGGCACATGCTACAAAAGCGCACATCCCAGTTCAGTTTATGTTTAAAGTTTGGCAAGTCTAAAGTAAAATTTGTAAGAGGTGTTGCCAGAATTGTTTCACAGTTCTCAAGTATGTCCTACAAACACTTGATAAGTTTTTTGGAGGACATATTGATTGGCTACTTTCCACCTGTTCAGCACCAACTTTAATCTGTTCCTCATGGTTATCAAGCTGTCATTTTTTGATAGTGTATTAAACAAAGAGAACTATGGCGTTTTAGCTTTCATGAGCATATTTGCAAAATTGCAACATCATAACTCATCATAATTGCTTTGTTTGTGTTTTGTAGGGTTTGCCGGGGCCTATAGGAAATATGGGACCAAAAGGTGTACAGGTAAGGGATAAAAATAACACAGAGACTCTCTATATTGCCTGTTTTGATATACCTGTATTGTCTTGATATATATATATTTTTAATCAGAAATCATTTAGACACTGTTGGCTATAAATTAATCATCATGTATTGGCTGAGTTCAGTTAAGATGAGATGTTTTTGCATTCCATGTCTGTTCCTATAAATTTGCCTAAAAGTGATAGAGCTATTATGTTCAGGAAGTTTTGTAAGGGCTGCTACATTTTTGGTATTGAAACCTTTTTTTTTCAGTTTGGAAACTCTGAAAGGCACCAGAAAAGGAAATGGTTGTAGACATTTAAGGATCCGTTATTGGGAGTTGTTTTCATTATAAAACCTCAGAACATCAGCTCTGAAAGTATACCGCTGTCAGCTGGGTTTTATATTATAATTCCACTACCATTTTAAAACCAGTTTGGTCTTGTAAAGTATATGGCAGCAGTGTACATCCAAAGCCTTTTTTTTATTATTTCCCTTAGTGCTAACATATTTTTATTATTAGTTCGTTAGTTTTATTTTATTTTACTGTATATAAGAATATGTTAATGTATCTGTAATAAATATATTTTTAATAATGTTTTATTTCATTTAGCTAGTTAATATTTAATGGTTTTCATTTTTATGTTGCTTTGTATCATAAAATGCATAATTCCTTCATCAGTCTTTGTCTTTTGCTTTTCATGATTTTATTGTATGTTCATGTGTATTAACCTTGTGACCCAACCTTAGGCATCCTGCCGAATGCCAGTGTGATCCCTGGTGTGAGAGTATGTGCCCTTGGACTACATCGTGGAAGCCAGCACCATGCAGTCCATGGGCATATACACTTGCCTCAAGGCCTAGATCTTCACCGAGCGTCCACTGTCCTCAAAAGACCTTTGCAAGTTAATCTGCACTTTATCAAGGGATATTCAGACCATATCACTCTAAAGTCTCTCTGTTTGTTTCTTGTCTTCTTACACTGCCCTTTTTTAGGGCTTCATTGGAATCCCAGGCGTCTTCGGTCTCCCTGGACCTGATGGAGAAAGAGTGAGTTTTGCTGTTGTTTCTGCACTCAAGTAATTTTTTGCTAGTTATGGATGTCATAAAGAAATGCACAGCAAATAGTTTGAATTTGAATAGAATAGAAATATTAAAATGATGTACCGATTTAGAAAAAGCTGAACACAGAAAACAAACCCAAAAAATATGACAACACACTAAATGTATGTACAAAACAAACAAAAACGTAAAGGAACACTCCACTATTTTTGAAAATAGGCTCATTTTCCAACTGCCCTAGAGTAAAACAGTTGAGTTTTACCGTTTTCGAATCCATTCAGCCGATTTCTGGGTCTGGCGGTAGCACTTTTTGCTGTAGCTTAGCATAGATCATTGAATCTGATTAGACCGTTAGCATCTCGCTCAAAAATGACCAAAGAGTTTCTATATTTTTCCTATTTAAAACTTGACTCTTCTGTAGTTACATCGTGTACTAAGACCGACGGAAAATGAAAAGTTGCAATTTTCTAGGCCGGTATGGCTAGGAACTATACTCTCATTCCGGCGTAATAATCAAGACACTTTGCTGCCGTACCATGGGTGCAGCAGGCGCAATGATATTACGCAGCGCCTGAAAATAGGCTAACTTCCGTCAACATAACCACCGTGACCACCTGCTTGCACAGGGAGCGTGCTGGGGACTATTTTCAGGCGCTGCGTAATATCATTGCGCCTGCTGCGCCCATAGTACGGCAGCAAATTTTCTTGATTATTACGCCAGAATAAGAGTATAGTTCCTAGCCATGTCGGCCTAGAAAATTTATTTTTCCGTCGGTCTTAGTACACGATGTAACTACAGAAGAGTCAAGTTTTAAATAGGAAAAATATAGAAACTCTTTGGTCATTTTTGAGCGAGATGCTAATGGTCTAATCAGATTCAATGATCTATGCTAAGCTACAGCTAAAAGTGCTACCACCAGACCTGGAGATCGGCTGAATGGATTTGAAAACGGTAAAACTCAACTGTTTAACTCTAGAGGAGTTGGAAAATGAGCCTATTTTCAAAAATAGTGGAGTGTTCCTTTAAGTGTAGCAACTGTTACTAGTGCATTAAAAGTCCATTGCTGTTCCCTAGTTTTTAGTAAAACAGTGTGGCATAATGGAGATGTATAGTCTTGGTTTTAGATGACCCTAGAGGAAATATTACTCGAGCAAAGCCCACACACTTCCACTTGTGCCTTACATGTATAATTTTTCTTTATGATGGTGGCTTGTAAATCCAGAGCACTTGCTTTGAATAGGAATCCTGGTGAAAGGGGCACGCTCCACTAAAACCACAGAGATCCCCCTTCAAAACAGTAGTTAGTCTCAGTTCTCACAATATTTGCTCAGGAACCTCGAGCTGGTGAATTCCAGCCTGCAATACTTTGTGGAAATAGCAATAAAAGCCCCCAGGAGCTGGAATATGGCCTGCTGCGGATTAGCCAGATCATGTCTCCTATTTTCAGGCCCAGAGGGAACAGAGTTCATAGAGATCTGAGAGACCCTTTTGTGTCCAGAAGAGCAGAAACTAAGACCTTTCAGCATTCACACAGTCTATTGCGTCTGGGATTGATAATTGATTAATTCACTGTGTGCTTTTTTTGTAATTTCTTTTTACCTGTCTTTCCATGCTCTCCTTCTATCTGCTGTCTCCTCTTAGGGTTTACCTGGTGTTCCCGGGAAGAAGGGCAAGATGGGTAGGCCGGTAAAGTTTTCTTTCACCATCCTCTCTAGAGAAACTTCTATGAATGACTTGCCTCTGTGTTCAATGATTTGTGACCCCTTTCATGCTGTTTGAGAGAGTTTGATTCTGTTTGTGCTGACTTTATGACCCTCGTTATCTACAATCTTAAAGCAGGGTTTCTCAACCATTGTTCCACAGCCAATTGGATGGAAACATTAGAGTAGTTCACCCAAAAATGAACATTTGCTGAAAATTTACTCACCCTCAGACCATCCAAGATGTAGATGAGTTTGTTTTTTCATCAAAACAGATTTACCGTCAGAATGAGAGTCCAAACCTCTGATAAAAACATTACAATAATCCACATGACTCCAGAACATTACAGTAAGTAACATCTTGTGAAGCAAAAACCTGCATGTTTGTAATAAACAAAAGTAATGTTATGGATGGAGGACTTATATTTTAACCAGAAGCAACTGTTTACAGTTAAAAACATCTTAATGCAGTTATTTATTATAAGCATGCAGTTTTTTGTTTGACAAGACATTAATTGATGGACTGGAGTAGTGTGGATTACTTGTGGTGTTTTTATCAGCTGTTTGGACTCTCATTCTGACGGCACCCATTCATTCCAGAGGATCCACTGGTGAGCTTGTGATGCTAAATTTCTCCAAATCTGTTCCAAAGAAGAAACAAACTCATCTACATGTTCTATTTTTAAGCAAACAATCATTTTTGTGACTATTTTCTTTACTGTAAGACCATGATCACATTGCAGCCTACATTCCACGTAATATCTTAAGCACAAAATCTGCATATAGATAGATAGATAGATAGATAGATAGATAGATGGACAGATAGATAGATAGATAGATAGATAGATAGATGATAGATAGATAGATAGATAGATAGATAGATAGATAGATAGATAGATAGATAGATAGATAGAACCAAACTCAGTCATAGCATAAGTCATAATGCAACTATTATTTTTCATTGTTCCTGACAGTCTGTCTTGGCAGTAGATGGAGCTGTCTTATTTTGTCTAGATAAATAGTACTAAATTACCAATAATTAATTACAAAGTTTTACCATCTGCACACCCATAATCATTTTCTATTTAGCAAAATGACGTTGGTGCTCTAAGTCTGCGTATTTTTAAAAGAACTAGACATTAAGAATTCAGGCTCATCTTTTTCCAAAACAACTTCCAATTATGTGCAGTTCTTTCTAGACTCAAAGCACAAATGCAGTGCCAAGCACAGAATCATCTGTTCTTAATAAGCAATTCTCTAACTCTGCAGTTCTGTTTGATAGGCAGCACATGCACCTCGGCTGTAATTCAATGTTTGCCTTGTTGGAGGACAAAAAAAGATCTCCACACAGCGCAAGTGTTGACTTTGGCCTTAAGACAAGCACACGTTTAGCACACAGTGAAGTGCGACGTCATAGCTCTTGTCCTCTTATATAACGTAACAGTAGATAGAGGGGAAACAGCGCTGTCAGCGAATCCCGGTGGGTCCTCCTCTCGCTGCTCCTGGTCGTTGCCAGTGTAAGGAAACACTCAGCCATGGAATTTCCTGCAGGGCTGACAGAGACGAGAACTGAGCTTGTTTCTGTGACTCGGCATCAGGCTCTGCTTTCACAAAACAAAACTTCAGTGCAGCAGCCATATTCTTACATTTTTATTAGCACATTCTTAACTGCTGCTTTAAATATTTAATTTTACTAAATTTTATACGAGACTTTTACTACAGTTTTTAGACTTTATCTATTTATAGACTACAATTATTTTATAAAAAATACTATAAATTAACAGTAATATTGTGAAATTATATTACTATTTAAGTTTTAAAATATTATTTATTCCTGTGATGGCAAAGTTGACCTTTCAGCAGCCATTACTTCAGTCTTCAGTGTCACATAATCCTTTAGAAATCATTCTGATATGCTGATTTGGTGCACAAGTAGCATTTCTTATTATTATAAAAATTCAAAACAGTTGTGCTGCTTAATGTAATTTTTTGGCGCATACTCACGTTTACTATTGATTTGATGATTTTACTTTTTCAGATACCATTTTATTATGTATAGAGCAGTTCATTCACACATCACAACAATTTAAAACGTTTAATGTGTTGTCAGTATTTATTGTTAATCTTTGCTATATGGAAAGCATGGCTAAAGTCCAAACGCAAAATAAAAAATAGTTATAACTTACCATACTATCCACAGTAGAAATAGTAATACAAAAACCTCCATTTCAATCTGTTTTATTCACATACTTAAATAGTGGTAAAACAATTCTGGCCACTAATATACTCCATCCAAAACCACCTTTGTAAAATGAACAATGCTACAGTGTCTCCCAGTTTTCTAGAACGTGTTGGCTGTATAGGAGATATAGTTGGTGGTTAAAACTTACTCTATCCTATTGCTGCTTTCCTGTGGCTGTTTTTTGAGATCCAGTTTTTCAATATCCCATGATTATGGAGTGGTTCTGGTGATACAGAGGTTTGCGCAGGATTAGAGTGAAGGGACAATGTTTACCATGTGGGCAACTGGAAACAGCAATGCACAAATGGTATCTGCCCTGAGTCTAAGTGCGGTTTCTTCAAGTCTCGCTCTGCTGTCTCTCACATTTGTGTGCTTAGGGCTTTCAAGGAGATTTTGGGGAGCGAGGACCACCAGGACCTGATGGAAATCCAGTAAGTAGTGCTACATCAACCACCTGGCCAACTGCCATTTGGGGGAACTCCAGTTTTCTAATGCTCAGAGAGATTTAAGCATAGTTGTTTGGGGTTATATTTATTATCAGGTTTAGTGTATCAGAATATTGCCGCACAGCAAGAGAAATGTTCAGCAAAAAGTCATCCCAAAGTCTCCTAGCCTCTGCATGCCCTTTTCCTGCCTGTCATACACTGTTATACACATACAGTTATACAAGCTGACCGGGCCATGCAAACTGCTACACTCTAATAAATACCTTTGATTTCTGCTACCACAATAACACACACAAGCCAGTTGGGCGTCCAGTGTGTGCAGCTCAGCATTGAGTAATATTGGTAATGAGGAAATCAGCTGTCACTACCAGAGTCTACAGCAGATATCTGTTTTAGCCATTACAGGGGTTGCTTCACTTCTGATCGTTTTACCATATTCTTTACCCAATTTTTCATCTTATTCATGTTTCCATGTACCATAATATTCAAATAAGTCATTTTTCTGACACTGATTTGCATATTAGGAATTGACATCTTATAGACATTAGTATAATATCTTAGCAATCTATAAAATGTGTATTTTCAAAAATTATTAGCAGAAAATTCTAATGCAAAACCACATTTCATCAGCTTGTTAGTGGTCTTTGCTAAGCCTTTAATTACAGTCACTATTGCTCATACTTACAGTTAGGAATAAAAAAATAAATAAAAAATTAACCTTGAGTATAGACTACAGATAGTCCTGCACAATTTCTGGTTTGAACATTCAGTCTTTTGGCTTATTGAAGAGATGTGAGCCATTGTGCCATTGTATTCAGTTCATCCCACTGAATATTTATTAGATTACTTCCTTTTGTGTTCTGCAGAAGAAAGTCAGTCATGAGAATGAGTAAATGAACTGTCCCTCTAAAACTCTCCAATCATTTCGTTTGCTTAAATCCTGCTCTTTCTTACAATTGACTGCAAGCTCACATTCGCATCTGTGAGGTTACACACTGCATGACTTTACAATAGGAAGAATCGCCGACAACTCTGTCTGGTCCACAAACTACATTTCACAACCAAACGCACGCGAGAAGTGATAAGGAAATAACTCCCCGAACTTCCCACTGCCCAGTATCTTGCTCTCTCATTGGCTGTAGGTCATCACCGATGTATTTTTCAGTCAGAACTCATTTCACACAGCAGGATTTTGAATCGCTGACAGGTCCAGATATTTAGCATGGCAAATATTTCACAGGCGTCGGCAATGCGTCGTCGATTCTTTGATAATTCACACTGCGTGATTGTCACTCGCATGAACGAGCACCGATTTGCCTCCAATTTCAAGCATTTGTTGGTGATTTCACAAAACCTGTCAGCGAGTGAAAATCGGGGCTAAAATTGCGCAGTGTGAACTCAGCATTAGCAGCTTCCTAGCAGCCGTTAAAAGGATAGTTCACCCAAAAATTAAAATTCTGTCATTAATTACTTGCCCTCATGTCAGAACACAAATTAATATATTTTTGATGAAATCCAAGAGCTTTCTGATCCTGCATAGACAGGAACGCAACTACCACGTTCAAGTCCCAAAAAGGTAGTGAGGACATCGTTAAAATAGTCCATGTGACATCATTGGTTCAACCGTAATTTTATGAAGCTATGAGAATACTTTTTGTGCACAAAGAAAACAAAAATAACGACTTTATTCAACAATTCTTCTCTTCCGTGTCTTTCACGTACATTCACAAGAGTTCGATGACGTATGCGTGTGTTGCTGCTGACGCAGGAGCCGGTGTTCTAATGTAGAACCTGCATGTGCTGCGCCTTGTTTACAAAGAGAGGAATGCAGAAAGCTCTCGGAAGGTGCACCATTCACATAAAATTAAGTTTTGTTTAAAAATGTGGACTATACAAAAGTAAGTCATTAAGAATCTTGCCTTCCTGGGTCTTTTGCAAAAAGCCCATTTCAAATATACGCTTGTGTGAACTATTTTTTTTTCCAAAGCTGAGCCGGCAGTAGCTTAGTGTAGCGCTAGCCTGATCACCTGACTGCCTGCAGTACTGTAACCCTAACCATATCGCAAACGTAGAGGACACGCACGCCTTCACCTCAATCCTTTTTATTCATCAGTGGTCACTCAGCAAGAGCAGCCGACCCTGTAACATCTATCTGCTCACTTTCAAAGAACAAGGAAAGCAAAAATACACAGGGGATTTTTTTGGCCTGCTGCTGAGAGAGGAAGTAGGTATGGTAGTTAGCAGCGGGCCAGTCATGCCACACAACAAGCTCCTCTCTGTACTCCACAGCATGTCTCTTTCATTGGCTCACTGAGGGGTAGATGCAGGCAACAGATTAGCTTGCTATCAGGGAACAGAGGCTTCACCCCCCCCCAGACTTTCTCCAGCGTCCTCAGAGCGAATGTTGTGCCAGTAACGCTCAGTGTCTGCTCTCTGTTTCTCACAGGGAGAGATGGGTGCCCCAGGTCCTGTTGGCATCCCTGGTTTTATTGTGAGTAAACAAACATTCAGTTATTAACTTTGAACCTTCTGGCTGTGGTTTTTGCCTTCCCGACATTGATGCTTTCTGATTTTTTTTTTCTGTTGGCCTGTGAATATAATGTGTGCATTGTACATTTTTATGCTTGTTTATGTTTTTTATATTTCATGGCAGGGTGATATGGGTCTTGTTGGAATTGTGGGTCTTGCTGGATTAATAGGACCAAAGGTGATTACATTGAAATTGTTATGAACATCCGTGCTGAAAAGACTATTTCAAACTAGCCTAAAGGGATTTGCTGGTCTTAGTTGATTTAGGATGGTTTGGCTGGTCTCCCAGCCTAAAAAGTAGCCAAAACCCATCTAAAACAAGAAAAACACACCAATCTAACCAGCTTGGTCAGGCTGGGAGAAATTAAAGGAAATTAACTTACAAATTGCTTTCTTATAGTTGTCTTTGCACACTACACTAGAATAACAAAAAGGAATTTTAACATGATTTTAACAATTGAAATCACACACAGTAGTACATAATACTTTAATTTTCAACACATTTAGTGACATATTAATTTGGATTATTTTCATAGCAACAAATGTTGTAGGCAACACTATTTAATAAATGTACAGACAAGTTCAGTTTGCATTTAAGGAGCAACTGATGGTTAAAATGTATGGTCTTCAATTCATAAAACAGTTCTACAAATTCTTCTTTTTAACAATTGTCTGTTTGTTGTCTTGCAGGGTATACCAGGAAACCCTGGCGAGTCTGGACTGAAAGGTGATAAGGTGATCTGAATAACCTTTATTAGCTTTTGCTTCTTCTGTATTTGATTGCACAGAGCCACTATTGGGAGAGACTGAGATCAGCTGTAACATGCTAAAATGTTGTCAGTCACAGATACAAAAAGTTAAAAGTCAGTAAGATTTTTTTTTAAAGCAGTTCATACTTTTATTCATGAAGGATGCATTAAATTTATCAAAAGTGACAGTAAAGACACGTATGTTACAAAAGATTTCTATGTCAAATTGAACTTTCATCAAGGAAAATAAAAATTAAGCAGCACAACTGTTTTTAGCATTAATAGTAATAATAAGAAATGTTTCGTGAGCAGCAAATCAGCATATCAGAATGATTTCGGAAGGATCATTTGATACTGAAGACTGGAGTAATGGCTGCTGAAAATTCTGCTTTGCCATTACAGAAATAAATTACATTTTAAAATGTATAAATGGAAACAGTTATTTTCAATTGTAATATTTCACAATAGTACTGGTTTTACTGTATTTTTGATCGAATAAATAAAGCTTGGTGAGCATAAGAGACCATTCAAAACTAATGCGATATAATGACACATACTCCATACATAACTCTCTCTCTGTCTGTGATTGTAAATAAATAAATAAACTAACAATAAAAATTGCTTCAAAATTCACACAGTAATGAATGTTATTCTATCAGGTATTGATCAATATATTTGAGCAAAATAGTAAAGCAATGATATTGTTACTGAGGTGTGCTTTTATGTGAGATTTAATATTAGAGAAGGCTGGTCAAGGCATCAGCAGTGTAACCTCTGTCCTGCTGCTCCCCATTTCTGTGTTGGTCTCTCTGTCTGCCAGCTGGACAGGTGCTGGCAGCCCTGTACTTAAATGTTGTATTTTGCTGCTAGGCAATATATTTATAAGGCTTTGTTTTGGACAGCTTCTCTGATCTCCATGTCTACAGTTACAGACACATTGTAACATAGATACAGATACAGTACAGACATACAGACATAGAGACAGTATCTGGAGTAACTGCTGTGATTGAACTGCTGGGACATCCTGACTTAAAAGCCAGAGAGTGATGTTTTGTCACTGTTTTGTCTCTGTCGACAGGGTGAAGTCGGGTTGCCAGGTGAACCGGGAGAACCTGGATTTCAAGGTGACAAGGTATTTCAGATAACGGCTTTTCTTTTGATGTATTCACACAGTGAGTAATATAAAAAAATGTGTTCAATAAAACAAATAGTGTAGAAATAAAATTCACTCAGAAATTGTTAGTAAATTTCACAGTTCATTACAAAGAAACCTCACCATTGAATTAACTGTGAAATTTTGAAATAGAAAGACTGTATTTTCTTGTAAATCATACTGCAATCATCTTTGTTTTATTTACAACTTCAAAAAATGTGTGTGTGTGCATGCATTTGTATTTGTGAGTATTTATGTGCTTTTAAAGACCCAAACAGGTTTTTATTTAAGTAACTATGTACTTATTATTAACTGAATTTTCCAGGGTAATCAGGGCTCACCAGGTTTACCAGGAATTCGAGGAAAGCCAGGACCACAGGTTAATTCATACAACTTTTTTATTATTATTGTTATTTCATTGTATTTTACCAGATTGATTAATCTTAAATCTTTAGTTCTGATTTGACAAAGAGTCAAATTATAGCTGTTTGTCTTTCAGGGGAAGCCTGGAGATCGAGGCCCAGATGGTTTGCCAGGCCCACCTGGCCCTGAGGTAATTGTACTTTCATTTCAGGCCAAGTGTACTCTACAAAGACAGAAGGTCATTGCCTTGTGTACGTTTAAAGACTAATGATTTCTTGTTTTACACTACACATCTAATCACAAATCAGCTGTGTCTGTTATAAGATTCAATTCTTCCCACTGAAGTTCAGTTCGCATACAAACCCATGCACAAACTCACAGAAAGTAAACTATAGTAAAAGAGCATAAAAACATGACACAGTGTCTTTCAGCTGCACACAAGTGCACTTTTTATGTCTTAAATTGGCAACAAAATGTAGCCAACTCGCAGACTTACAACATAAAAGTGCACTTGGCTTTAGTAGTTCCTTCATTTTGTGTTAATTTAAAATAACCGCAGAGAGATGGACATTCATTTGCAGTTGTTTAGAAAGCTCACACAGTCCTCCCAATAGATTTCAGAGTGAGAAGTTGTAGTTGAGTAGCTGAGGGAGTCTTCTTAGATAAAGTATAATGAATGTAGTGCTAAGACTAGTGTTGTTGCCTTTTCTCAGGGCTTTCCAGGGGATATTGGACCACCAGGACAGAATAGCGCTGAGGGCCCAAAGGTGTGAATCTCTCCTCTTTAAGCTTTTGGTCCCCTTCCCAAAATTTGTAATTGGGTCCCAAATTGTAAAATAGGGGCAAATATGCAAATTTTTTAATACATCGCAGGGGAATGCAGGAACGAGAGGGATTCCAGGCCCTAGAGGAGTTCCTGGACTTGAGGTAGGATCCGGACAGGTTCTGACCCTTCTTTGGTTTAGGAATAAATTAATAGCTGTAAATCTGAATGTACAACTGTATACAGTATCTGCATCTATAGTTATAAACAGTGTGTAATATTAACATGTTTATGAGATAATTGTCCTCTGTGTATAAGTGTATGTGTCATTTAAAAAACAAAAAAAGTTACTTCATGCTGCAACTACATTTGCAAGTCTATTGGCATATACAAGGAAGCAATTTGTAGTCACAAAAACAACGTCTAATAGGTCCAGTTGTAAGTATAATTAATAAATATATGCCTTTGGGTAAAGCCAAATATATCCATGTTTGGCGTACATTCTTAAACAGCAAGGTTTTTATGCAAGGCCAGTAAAATTCCTTTGTGAACCCATCAAGGCCTGGAGTTTTAGCATTATACAGCCATGAGATTTCATGGAATAGACATACTTTTTCTATGATATGTTACAGTAGGTAAAAACAATTTCCATAGATAAATAGGTGACACATTAATGCAAACAACAACTAGATATGTTTAAATTGGGTAACACGTTAGTACAGGGACCAATTCTCATTATTAACTAGTTGCTTATTAGCATGCCTATTGCTGTTTATTAGTACTTAGTACTGTACCAACACAATGAGGCACGACTTTAACAAAATCAAATCAAATCAAATCATCAAGACCAGTTTAGAGCTATTCTTCTTTACTTGGTGTTGAAAATAACATTTATATGGCAAAGAATAAGCAACACCACATTTTAAATTAATCTTTTCTGTTTTAAATATAAAACATAGCTTATTAAAAGCTTATTAGAATCTAAGATGACATTGTATTACAGGTGTTTTCAAAAGGCTTTTGCTCATATGCATATCAAAAAGGTTAAAATCCTAATCAGTATAATTTTGTAGATGCTTACTACTTCAAAAATAATAATGCCTCTGTTTTAAACCACAGGGAGATCAGGGCCCAGTAGGACCACCAGGGGCTCCAGGACTAGAGGTGAGTGCTTTCTTGATAAACCCCTTGGATATCTTGAGTTAACCTTCAATTAGACATCTTAGCAATCGCATTGACTTATAGCCTATTGACATTCTGAGGAACCTCATTGGCTCATGACCAGAGGCTTCCTTTAAAGTCGTTGATGCTGGTTCATATTTTCTTGTAATTTTATCATTTTGTTGTGTTACAGTTGAGCATTTAGCGTAATATAGTAATAGACTTCAGACACTCCTGTTGGTTTATGTCACTCAGCAAAGACTTTTATAATGTCTTAGTTTTAAAACCCTCCAAATACAACAATCTCCCTCTCTCCCAAAACAATTTCACAATAGCATCCAGACTTGACCCTGATTCAGCAATGATGGTATAAAATGTAGTAAAGAATAGTCTGTCCTTATGCCAAAGCCTGTAATACAAACAGTTGCCTGTACCTGACAAGAGATTAATTTAAATGAACAGTTCATTGCATTTAACCCAGTTTTTCATGTACAAATCTTGCCAAAGATCCCACGATTTTAGAGAGTCTGTCCAAGGGAGGCCAGTGTGGATAATTTAGCTAATGAGGCAAAAGGGTCAGACATTAGCTAATAGATGACCAGGGGATATCTATCCAAGCTCCAACATAAACACTTCTGAGTATTGTTCACTGGATTTGTGAGACTGAAGGTGATGCATCTGTTTCTGAATTATTCAATGAAGCTGCGCGCTCTCTCTCTCTTTCTCTGGGAGAGCTCATATATTGGTGAATGGAGGAGATTGGTCCCAGGGACAGGGGGTAATGAGATGTCAGGGAGTAGATTTAGAGGACTGGGAGTCCAGTACTATGGGTCATTTCTACTTTCTGTTCAGGGCAGACCTGGGAGGAAGGGTTTCCCTGGGAATCCAGGGGAGGATGGAATGAAGGTAAGAATTCATGACAGCCAAATGGCCACAATAATTTAGACTCCAATTTTCCATTAAATGTGTTTCTTCAACTATTTGGCCAAGTTTGACCCAATGGAAAATCTTTAGACTCTCAATCTCAATAGTTTTTTCTATTTCTTTAAGTAATCTATTCTTAATGAAAATTCCCACCACATTATTTCATCATCACACCATGTTTAACCATATAAAGCCTTATGTATGAAATAATATTCAGGATAATTTGTGTTAATATGTGTTTTTTTATTCAGTATCATACTTTATACGTCAGGCATTTATGGCTCATATAGTATGACATAGGAGAAAATAGAGTTCATAAAGACCTCTGTTTTATTCAGGGGCCCAAAATATATGCAATTTGGTGCAGTTACTGATGGACAGAAATAAGATTAAATTCTGATAGCTGGTAATGTAAATCATTGAGAACTTTATAACAGTTTATATTACAGGGCTGTTGAATGCTTGAATCTGATTGGTTGACAAACGTTCCAAGGTGTGCAATTATTTTCAGGGAACTATTTAAGTGTAATGTGAAATGAGTGAAAAGTGTTACATTGTAGAGTACATCTGCTCATGTTGCATCAGATGTCTTTATACTCGCGATTTGCAGCGTTGAGCATTATAACCATTCACACACCTTTCTGTTGAGTTTATGAATGCAATGTCCAATCAGACGCGTTTTGATTCATCACCGCAGAGAACGCCGGAGTTGTTCAAGTGTGCGCGCTCACTGACTGAATTCTGAATGTCCATTCGCAAATTCTGTCATAATCATAAACAACAAAGTGCAAAATAAATGTAAGCGATTGATTTGCTTCAGTGATTATGGGAGTTTTTGTGAAAGTGCATAGCTCACTTTAGACTGAAGTCATGGACCGCCATTAGTGTCCTTTGCTCACTTTCTTTGTATAATTTATAATAATATTAGTTTTGTTTGTTTTTTGCTACTGAAATAACCAATGTGAAGTCTTGATTTTCGAATCCTTCAAAAGCAATTAAAAATGTCATAAACTTAGCTTGTTTTGTCGGTAGCCAGAATATAACTTGCTTTTTCTGCCTACTTGGTGGGATGGCCTGCATTAAAATCTCACATACATCCCTAAATGTTTTAAATGTCATGTGTCGACATGTTTTTGGTTATTGCAGATTAACTTGTAAAGGTGTTCCTTCAATTAAAAACAACTAGTTTTTTACTTTTACTTGAGTAGATTTTTAGACTGGTATTTTTACTTGTAGTTAAGATAAATTTAATTAATGTAATGGTACTTTTACTTGAGTAGAATATTTTAGTACTCTTTCCACCCCTGGAAACATTTGCCCTTATTTTTTTTTTTGTTCTCACACATCACGTGTCTTATTTCATCTCAAGCTCTTCACTGATGCTGTTGTCTCCTTGGTGAACAAGTACACTAATGTTGGATAAAACCTAATTCTGGGCAGTATAGTGTCATAGTTGAAGAAACACCCTTTACTTTTTTCTGTTCCCAATAATGTGTGAATGAGTCCCCTTTATTAGAGGTCGTTATGTTGTTAATGAATACATTAACATCTGAGTTTTTGAATTGCAAATCTTGTCCCTTTGTTGTAGGGAGAGCCTGGATTTCCTGGAAACCCTGGGATGCTTGGTGAGAGGGTAAAGGATTTTTCGTAAACTTCTGTATATTTATATGCGTTTTAATCTGGAGTTAGTAATCTTTGATTTTCTTTTTCCTTATTTCTTTGTGCACAATAGGGTCTTATTGGTTTTGTCGGACCTGTCGGTGAGGTGGGGTTTCCTGGAGAAAAGGTCAGCATTCCGTTTCACAGCATTCCGCCATGTGTAATCATGTTAAACTCAGATTAATCTTGGTTCCTGTTTATATATGGCATGTGTTTTAAATCAATCATCAGACATTTATGTTGGTTTTGTATCATGGTCAGTGTTGTCTTTCCTTGATGTTAGTGTTATCTTCTGCTGTGTTGTTTGGCTTAGATGTGTTTCTTGTGCTCTCAGGGAGATCGTGGTGAGATGGGTCTGCCCGGGCCACCTGGAGAAATGGGAGCGATGGTAAGGAGTAAGTCTGGATCTCGTCTCTGCTCTCAGGGGAACTCTAATACCCACTTAACCTTGGGCAGTCACTATAACGCACAGATCACAGCTACAATGGTTGGAAAGGGAAAATGCCTCATCAGCCATTTTCCATTCATGAGATAATCAGCTAGACCACTGCAAGAGTCATTTCCCGTTCAATGACATAAGGAAATTGTAGCCATTTGCTGCGCAAAGTGGTTTGGGAACAATGTCAAAGTTGAAACCAAATTCAAGCCACTCCAAAGAAGTCCAACAGCAACCTTCCAGTCTTTCCAAGAAGTTTTGTCATCATTTCAGTGTTTCAATAGTTCCTATAACACTTAAAACTTGTCTGTATGTATTTGTTGTCCATGGCAATTCAAAAAATAGTCCGTCTTCATTTCCATTGTTAATTATGAGCGCTTGCCAACGAACAACATAGGAGTTGTTCTCAGTGTAGTTTGCTACATCATGCTTATAAGAGCTCTTTCTTCTATGCTGCACAAATATGTTAATAATAGTCATCACAAGCTTTTTTGTTTAAATTACCACACCACCAAGTTAACTTGCAGTGGTGTACAGTAGTACAGTTGAAACGGAACAATAAAACAAATACAACTGAGTGAGAGTTTATTTCTTGTAATAGAGATTGTTCTATAATGATGTGCCGGTTATTGTTGTTTTAGGGACACCCAGGGGCCCCGGGTGAGAGAGGCCCATCTGGACCAGAAGGTACACCAGTAAGTCAATCTTATGTATTCAGTATATATGAACTGACTTCATTTATCCCTGGCCAAGAGTCTCTGCAAAAAGTAACATCAGCACAAATCAGCTCTGTTTTGTGTCTTACTTTTGTGTTGTAATTTCCACGTCTTGTGCAGTCATCAGGTCTGAATCTTTCTAGGTTTCTAGGTAAGATTACAGAAACATCATAACCGGCCAAGTCTGTCTCATTTTATTCAGTAATCAAATTAACATTTTGCCTCCGCACAGCACTGTTTACGTTCTCTCATTAGAGCTGTCCATGGACACTGATGACACTAGCATAATTAGCGTCCTGACAACTCCTTGGGCTTCTTTGCTCTTTTCACACAAATGTTGACGTCATGCAAGCGTTTGGCAGGAAATAGCTTTTGAAGGCACTCGGATGACCCTGTGAGGAGGGCAAATTACAAACATAAACACCAGCCTTTGAAGGACAGAGCTTTCACCCTGTAGTTGTAATCGGGTCAAGTGATGTTTGTTTGCCTGCCAGAGACTCTTGCCAGCTCTAACTGAATTTCTCTGGGAACGTTCTCCTGCTGCCTGATTCAGGACTCTGTTCTGTGTTTCCAGGGACCTCCCGGGTCTAGGGGCCTCAGCGGCACCAGAGGACCCAAAGGCAGAAGGGTAAGAACTGATCATTTTGACTATTAGTAAAGATGGTCCTTACATAAACATGTGCTTTGGAAAGTCAAAATGTTCAAGAATTAAAAGTAAGACATATTTTTGTAAGTAAAACAATATAATGTTCAAGCTACTCTCATCAGCAGAAGTCTTAATTTCACAACTCTATTCAATTAACATATTTTTGTAATCTCTCTAGATAGTTATCACTGTATACTCGAGATTTTTTTTCTTAGAGGAGGCCATTCAAGTTCACATAGGCCTGTGATGAGTTTTGCATTGGCATATAGTTCTGTCATCTTTGGATAGTTTTGCATCCTGCTAATGCAGTGGTTACTGGAAGCTATACTGGGCTATATTTCCTTTATATTTACAGTCAGTGACAGTATCATGGCAGAAGAGCTTGACAGATGGTATCTTCACATCAGCTCTGATTTCATTACCATTAAAACCTAATTAAAATTTTAAAACTACGCGCCACTTTTACATTCACATTTCCTGTATTTTAGTTTTATCCCCACAACTGTACTGATAATCCCCACAATGATGATAATGTCTACAAAGCTCAAGCACAAAACATTAGGACAAACCTATCAATAATTGGGGAAAAAATCTATTTCACATAATGTTTTTAAAAAACTATAAAAAATAAAGTCCAGCTGCAGTTGTACTATCACAATGAAGGAATCAGTGCCACCCACAGGGTTCTGCTCCGAATCAAAGCGAGCCATGGGAGTTGAGGGCAAACAAAGGACAGTCTCCGATCAGCTGTGGAGAAGTGGCAATACTCATGAGCAGCTTGGAGCATTTCGGATTTACTGTGAAAGTCAGGTTTTCGCATGTGTCATAGGTTATGGGTGTTAATGGGTAATGGGAACCGGTGGGGGTTGCTAAAGAGTTCAGCCTTCAAGTACTGATGGGAAAGTCCCAAGCTTGGAGATTGGATTATGTCAATGATGTCAGATTTATGATGATTCTCAGCAGATAAGAACACTCAAAAAACTCAGTATGAATACCATTTGCACCAATTTTACTTCTGTAATGTGACATATAATGAGAAAAAATGTAGGATTGGCTGATTTTATCCTTCAGAAATTGATTAATTGTGAATTGTAACTTTCTATTACCTAATTGGCTTTAGGTTAACCTTATCCAATAGCTTGCACAGCCTACATGAAAAGCCTATTATTATTTTAGTTTGTTTAAACTTTGTTTCTATTTCTTTGCAATAACCTGCATTGATATATTGTTCACTGTAAGACCAGGAACATGCATTAGGAAAGTTAATAGGGTCCACTATGATTTAGTGTGGACATTTGCATTGAAGCTTCACTTTTCACTTTTCACAATTTCACATAAGTTCATGTTGTTTAATGTGTTAATACAATCTCTAATAGCTTTCTAGCATCCCATCAGAAATTTCAGCACTCATAACTGTCTTTACTCGCATCGCAAAAACACATTTCATAAACTTAATTCACCATTACAAATGAAACATTAATCCTTCAACAAACAAAAGATGAACGGCAGTTAGGACTGAATTACCACTGATGGAAAACGTGGAGGTCTGGGATTTGAGCCTCGTCATTTTCAAAATGCTCAGTTCTGTTAGTTCCCACAGACAGATCCATTTATCTCACTGCTCTTTAGAGGCCAATATTCATGTAATTTACTGAGGAATAGAAAGTCTTCTCACCTCACAGACAAATTAAAAATAGTTTGAAATATTGATAATAAAGTTAAAAGTTCATTGGGCATGCTGTCAGATCAACTCAAATTCTTAAATCTTCTGAGGCATTCAAGTCCTCCTTGAAAGTTTGTATTTGTGAGTAAGGAAGCTGTAATTGCAACATTGCAAGATGGTAATGTACCTTTTCTACAATACAGAAAGATCCTATAAAATGACGAAAGAATGCACATTAGGTGTTTTTTCTTTATTTTTATTCAATTTATGCTGGTGGGGTTAATTGAATTCACTATACTGTTGTATTTTGTACATGCAGTTTAGTTTCATTGTAAATGCAGCTATTTTTTATTGTAAATAACAATCGTTGAGCATTCCAATCAGCTTAACACGGCAACATTGACTACCAATAATGTGATTTTTTTGTGAATTCAGTTTTCTAACCAATATCAGAGAATGTTCAGGAAACCAGTCGTAAGTTTTGCAGTTAAATTTGGTGATGCTAGTGGGACAAAAATACACTCTTTACCATTTTAAAACAACTTGTTAAGTTTTACAGTAACATAGCAGTAACTATATCAGAATAGAATTCAAAGAAAAATGGGTTACACTTTATTTTAAGTTGTCCTTGTTACAGGGTAATTATACATTTAAGTACTGAGTAATATTAATTAACTACATGTACTTACTATTAGGGTTAGGGTTTGACTTAGGGTTACTAGCATGTAAATATGCATAATTTATTGTTGTTATAATAGTAAGTGTGTAACAAAGACACCTTAACGACTGAGGTGAGACCCTTGAGCAAGGCACCGAACCCCCAACTGCTCCCCGGGCGCCGCAGCAATATGGCTGCCCACTGCTCCCGGTGTGTTTTCACGGTGTGTGTATATCTGCTAGTTACACTAGGTGATAATAGTAAACTTGTTCTCTTGAACCAGAGTATCACTACTGACGTCTTTGTTTGTACAAGTGTGCCCTCTGCTGTTTGGTTAATTTTTGTACACCCATATGTGTCTGCTCCATAATGCCAGTTCCACCTCTCTATATTCTACACAGGGTGCGACGGGCCCAGACGGACCAGTCGGAGGCAAAGGAGTGATGGGAATGAAGGTGAAATATTCAGCAATGATTCTTGTAGAGCTAAGTTACTGCATAATATCTTACAGTCATGATACCGATTAGAAAATAGTCCTAAACTTTCATCATTAATAGTCCCTTTTTTGGACCAAAGTCGTTACTGTTTCCTTGTTTTCACTATTGTTTATAAGCACAATTAGGGCTGCATATGATTCATTTAATATTAATCTTCACTGGCAGCTTAATATTGAGATCTTGAAACATTTAGCTTAGTAATTGTTTGCAATTTTATCCTCGTGAGATGTCAATAACTTCAAAATGAAGTGAATGGTGCTTGCTGAAAGCGGCGTAGTAATGCTATGCTATTTTTCAAGATGAAGTACTTGACTTCCTCCATGCTGGCATGCACTGCATTTTCCCTACCACAGAACAAAACAACATATGAAACACATCTAAATTGTCAGCACAACATTTTATCAACCGGAAAAGCTGGAAACAGGGTGCATTGAAGGTTGTCTCAAAACATTTCCAAAATACTTGGTTTTGGTTTGATCAAACAGAATAAAGAATATTTTGATTTGGTTGTTGCAATGGAAAATAGTTGGTGACTGTCTTGGGTTCTGTTCCCTTTCTGCAGGGTCCTGAAGGCCCACTGGGAAAACAAGGCTTCAATGGACAAATGGTAAAATTACAGTTTTATTTGTTTTATTTCTCTTAAATTTTGACACTGTCCAAAAAAATAAATAAATAAAAATAGTGCAAAAATTGGGGTTTGGGTTTCTGTGGTTTGTCAATGATGTAATACGAGATGGTTAAAATATATCTCTGGCAAAGGAAAGGCTATTTCAGAGAAAAGCATTTGTAATTATTTCTTTCTTCTTATAATGACATCATTAGACCTTTGTAATCAATGGACCTTATGTCGTTTTGGTTTGCAAAACTCTAACGTTGAACATTTGTAGCCTTTAGAGGGTACAACAGCGTCACTGGGGCAGTATCCTCAAAGAGACACCTTTGTACCTTGTACCTTATGCCCAAAGGGTGCATATTGGTACCTTACAGTAGTTTTATGTACCCTTAAGATAGTAATATACTGAAATAGCCTTTATACACTCTTATGGCACTACTGTTACGGAGTAACCAGAACATGAGACGTGCGGATCCATGTGCAAAGCTTTTATTAAGACGTGGTCATAAACAGGCATAGGTCAGACATAGGCAAACTGGTATGTAGAAGACAAGGCAAGGGTAGTCCGGTAAACAAAGGAGGGTCAGTCAACGACGAACGTAATCCAACAGGGCGAGACTAGAGAGATGATCCAGGTACAAAGCAACGGTCCAGGCAGGGGCAAACAGTATCCGAACAGGGCAAGACAAGAGAGGTAATCCAAAGTACACAGGCAATGATCAGAAGACGAGGAAACAGACAGGGCAAGGCTAGGCTAGGCTAGGCTAGGCTAGGCTAGGCTAGGCTAGACTAGACTAGACTAGGAAACCTAAAGCAGGCTCCGTAACGTAGCTATCACAACTAGCGATATGCACATACACAATACTCGGCAGCTTGACGGGGATCAGAGTGAGTGTTATATAGGGAAGGTGTGATTGATGACAGCTGTGTGCAATCAGTGCTGTGTGCAATCAACTGTGTGTGTGTAATCAGTGCAATGGATGATGGGAACTGTAGTCCGGGTGAAGTGCAACAGTGGTGTGGTGCAAGAGTCCATAGTAGTGGAAGGGTGACCTCTGGTGGCAAGCAGATGGAAGTTCATAGACCGGATTCGTGACAACTACTATGCACCTTTTAAGGGTAAAGAACTGGGAACTGCCCCAGTGACAAGATGCAGAGACACTGAGTTTCTCTCTTGTGTAATAGGGTAAACTTGGTGAAACTGGTGAAAACGGACCAACTGGATTTCCTGTGAGTAATTGATTGTTTGATAAACATTTTCAAAAGTTTTTGAAAAAAATAAATTGGAAAAAAAATACTAAGTTTATAATATATACATTTTGAAATTAAATATGTATATCCATTTTCTAGGGTGTTCAAGGGCCAACAGGACGTCCTGGTGCAAAGGGCATCTTAGGAGAACCTGTAAGTACATCATTCATATATAATGAATGAGGATTTGGACTGTCAAGCTCCAAAACGACAAAAAAGCACCATAAAATGTTCATGAAGCAGTCCATCTATTCCAAGTCTTTTGAAACAGACTGAAATTTAAGCCTTTAATAACTGACTTTGTTCCCCTCCACTGTTCAGATCTGATTAAAATGGTACCATTACATGTGACATATCAGGTTTGATGATGTCAATGTGATGTGACAAAACTAATGGCAGCATTTATTCTTGAGTAAAACAAGATTTTCAACTAGAAAAAAACAGGACTTGATTTTATCCATATGGAATTGAGTGATTTGTGATAAGTTACTGTTCCGTACCAGAACGGAGCCAGGTTTGGAAAAGAGTTTGCAAAAACAATGCCTGAATAGCTATTTGGCTATGTGTTAATATTATTAAATGGTCTGGAAAGTTGTTTCAGAGGTGTAGCAAATAGGTTGTTGAAAGAAACCGTTTTGGTGCCCATTGACTTACATTGTTTGGACAAAAAAACTAAGACATTTCTCAGAATATCTTCTTTTGTTTTAATGTCATATTTAAATAAAACTATAAACTCACATCAAACTTTGCTTTAAAAAATACAGGGATGATGTGCCAGCCCACATTAAATGGCAATGATAAATATGAGGTTAACATACGCCACTGTCGAAAAGTTTTTCAGTTGTTTTTTAACAATCACCAAGGCTGCAAATGTTTGATCAAATACAGTAAAAACCATAATATTGTGAAATAGTATCATTTCATTTATTCCTGTAATTCCTGTGATGTGACTCCAGTCTTCAGTGTCACATGATCCTCTAGAAATATGCTGATTTGATGATCAGTTGTGCAGCTTACTAAAGAGTGGAAAGCACAACAAAGTATTTTTTCTACAGGATTCATTGATGAACAAAAATAATAGCATTTATTTGAAATAAAACTCTTTTGTAACAGTATATATATTACTGTCTTTTTTTATCAGTGTAACAAATCTGAACACTATTGTTCAAAAGATTGGACTCAGTAAGATTTGTATCATTGTTTCAGTAGCTGATATCACAGCCATATGTTTTCTGTCTCTTAACAGGGTCCTCGAGGGCCTTTGGGAGTATTAGGTTCATTGGGTGAGATTGGAGCAGTGGTAAGATTCTTGACATAATCTTCAGATATGTGTTGATATTTCATATTGTACTTCCAGCATTATTAGATCAGTTCTCTTATTTTTCCAGCTGTGTTACTTCTTATTGGACCCCTCTGTCCTACTCTTCTCACTGCTTTTTTTGCTAAACAATTCTATTTATGCCCTAATTTAGCCAATGCCAGATTAGTTGTGGTTCCTGTATACAATTACAATGTCCTCAGGTGGCACTAGAAAACACTTAGCTTGGCTTTGTTAATTAAAATACTTTAACGAATGAAACCGAAATAAGAAACAGATTTTGTCCCACATTGTCCCTTTGTTTCTAATTACCTATCTATTATTCCCACATGTTTTCTTAGCTGTGAGGGACCAAAGACTGTAGTAAGATACAGAAAGTTAAACAGTCCATGTTCATTAGTTTCCTGGTTTGTGTGACAGGGTTTACCTGGGAAGGTTGGGGAGCGAGGCTTACCAGGTGAACCAGGAGAGAAGGTGAAACACCTGCTGTGTTTTCTTATGCTGTACATGATACTGAATGCTGATTAGTAATCATGTCATGTCCAAAATTTACCATAGTGAGGTTACTGTGATCATATGCAGATGTTTTATACAAAGCACAAGTTAATTATGCTGAAATTTGAGTTTAAACTTTTTTTCCACACTTTTTAGGGTGCTGTTGGATCTCTTGGGAATATGGGAGAGCAAGGCTTGATTGGACCTCGAGTAGGTTCATTTTGCTAGGCGTAATAGACTTTATTCAGGAGAGATGCCATTACTGTCAGTTCAGTGGGTTTCACTGTTGTATACCTCAGTGACAATCATTCAGTCACTGAGGCGCTTATGTACTATAATTAAATGTGCTTAATTATATTGAATGTGTGCTTCAAATCTTAAAATAGATTTTAAAGATACATTATACACATCATTGTACATTATAAAACATGTTTTGATAATCTTATTGTGCTTGAAAGAAGTACACTTATTTTATGTACAACTTTATTACAAATGTATTTAAAGATGTACTTAAGTCCTGCTTCAGTGGGTCAGAAAAGCTCTTGAAAGTTTAGCTAATTTAATTGAATTTACATTTAAATTATAATAAATTTTTATTTTATTATAATACATATTTGTTTAATTGCAGTTAAGTGTATGAAAACGTTACATTCAGTTCACAATTAAGTTTAAAATGTTCAAATGTATTTCTAAAGCACTGAATAAAACAACAATGTTGACCATAGTGCTGTACAAACAATAAAGCAATTAGGAGAGGAAAACATTTAAAAAATCATAACCATGTATCTAATAATATCTAATAAATATAAAAAGAGAAACCTTAAAAGAACAATCGAAATTTATCTAAGTAAAAAAAAATATCTATATAAAAAATATGTTTTCAGATGGCTTTTAAACTGACCTCCCTAATATATAGTGGTAGGCTGTTCCATAGTTTTCATCTTAGACCGAGGAACAACAAGAAGTTTGATCATAAAGATCTCATTGGCTTTTGTTCCTGAATTAGAATCGCAATAAACGATGGAGCTAAGCTATGTAGAGATTTAAATACAAATAATACGATTTTAAAATGAATCCTAAAAGAAACAGGAAACCAATGCAATGATTTTAACACCGGGGTTATATGATCTAATTTACAAGTGCCTGTGAGCATTCTTGCAGCCGCATTTTGGGCCATCTGCAATCTATCTAAAATTTTATTTTGAGCCCAATAATATAGCAAGTTGCAGTAGTCTAATCTCGAAAACATAAATGCATGAATAACCTTTTCCAAATCTTTCTGGGATAAAAAAGGCTTAATCTTAGAGGTCATCTTCAATTTGAAAAAGCTCATTCTGATGATTTCATTCATCTGTTTGTCAAAAATGTATTATTTCCGTAACAAGTACTCTTTTTAAAAGTATGACTAAAGTGTACTTCTTTTTCACAAGGGATGGTTTATTAGGTGCAACCTAGAAACTCAACACATTTGTCCTTCACAGCTTTGTTTTTATTTGTGTCAAGCTAAATATGGCATCTACCCTGATTAAAGTCCACATTTTTGTCTTTTTAAAGTAGTTCAGTGAATTTTTTTTAATGACGTTCTTGTTCAGGGCAACCCTGGGCTTGATGGGGAAGCTGGTCTGAGTGGCCCTGATGGAGCTAAGGTCAGAAAAGTACCAAATACATTTTTTTAATTTAAGCATGATCACTTTATTTAAAAATGTTAGTAGACGTTATGTTTGTTTGCTTTGGATTGTATTAAGTTTCAATAGGTGTTGTTGTCTCTAGGGTGAAAAGGGTGACATTGGTTTGGAAGGAGAAACAGGTGAAAGAGGAGCCATCGGATTTAAAGGAACAGAAGGCCGTGTCGGAGATCCTGGCTTAACAGGTGTCAAGGTGCGTGCTCTTTTCAGTTTCGAAATCAAAGATAATTTTGTCAAGGTTTTCATGTGTATCACACTCACAGTGCTATTGGTTTTTGTGGATTTATCAGTGAAAAACAAATAGTTGTGATGTTTTGCTGACTATTCAGTTCTGGAAAAAAAATCAAGCAAATCTAGGCCTGCTGAAAAAAATTAATAGCATTACCTATTTTTCTTTGTTTCAGCTAGTCAAGCTGGTTTGGTTTGCCTTTTTTTATTTGTAGAAAGTTTTAGATACGTTTTGAACACCTTAAGCTGGTTTCAGCAGTTTCTCAGCAGGACTGGTGTAAACTGTTTCACTCTAGAGTACTTTATTGCTCATAGCACTTGCTTTAAGGTTTTATTGAAGACTGAGTGATGTTGGATGACAGCAAAGATAAACTACACCTCCTTGTGGTAGTTCTGAATGATTAAAGTCATAAGTCAGACGGAATGTGTTCATTCAGAGATGTCTCTCAATTCATTTTTGCAGTGTCAACTCTGTAATGTAATTTCAGGGCCCTGAGGGCAAACCTGGAAAAACTGGTGAGAGGGGAAAACCTGGAGAGAAGGTATTTCATTTATGACATTTTAGTTTACATGATTATCCATCACTACTCTCAGTACTTATCATTAGATATCAGTGTGTGTGTGTGTGTGTGTGTGTGTGTGTGTGTGTGTGTGTGTGTGTCCATATGTAGAGTGTAAATAATGCTTAATTTCATTTCAGGGCAGCAAAGGTCACCAGGGTCACCTTGGCGAGACTGGACCAATGGGAGAACAAGGTGCCATAGGTTTCATCGGGCCAAAAGGAAGCAGAGGAACTACTGGGTTTATGGTAAAATGTTCAACGTTAGAGTTTTGCAAACCAAAACGACATAAGGTCCATTGATTACAAAGCTCTAATGATGTCATTATAAGAAGAAAGAAATAATTACAAACGCTTTTCTCTGAAATAGCCTTTCCTTTGCCAGAGATATATTTTAACCATCTCGTATTACATCATTAACAAACCACAGAAAATGCTGATACTTTTGTTATTATACATCAAAGAAAATATTGTAGAGACCTTTTTTTTTATTGTGTTTTGTTTAGGCAAGAATGGAGTTTCTGATTATGCTATCTGAAGCTAACTCTGATCCCATGGCTATTATTTTCAGGGTGCTCCAGGACAAATGGGTCAGTATGGAGAACCCGGTTTAGTGGGATATGAAGTAAGTGTTATTCAACATAGACGTGCTTTATAAGACTTTATTTTACCTCAGCATAAAATGGTACAAAATCAAAACAGCTGCTCTACATTATGTGAGGTTCTTAAGTTAATAAGGCTTGTAAGAGCTTGTCTTTAAGCGCTCAAATGGTTCCATACTCCACTATTTCTTCTTTTATTTCCTCATTTACTGTAGGGTCATCAAGGACCAAAAGGTCCAATGGGATCCCCAGGACCAAAAGGTGAAAAGGTAAAAAATTAAAAAGCCTTATATCTAGAAGCTCATTTAACAAAGGAGTGTTATTTGTATTTGTATAATAAAAACAAATAGTCTTTTTCCAAAAATCCAAATTAATTTTGGAATTAATGTAACCTTAGCATATCCATAGCACAAGGTCAAATTTATACCAGATTGAAAAATCCAGAAATCAATACTGAAATCAATTTCTACACTTTTCAGGGAGAGCCAGGTGACGACAGGAAGGTTGAAGGCCCACCTGGTCCTTTAGGTGACATCGTGAGTCAGTCCACTAGATTTATTACACATTTTTGCCTTGTTTTGTGAAAAGTCTGGATGCCAACCTGATCAATATGTTTGGATTTCACTGGGGTTTAGGGACCTGTTGGCAACAGAGGAGAAAGGGGACAGCCAGGTGACCCTGGATACCCAGTGAGTTTTGATTTAAGAAATATATTTTTAGACAATTCCAAAATAGATCACTAATTAAATATACATTCTATGTCAATTTTGAATCTCAATTTGTAAATCTCAAGGGTCACGAAGGTGTTCATGGGGAAAGAGGAAACCCAGGGGCTCCTGGACTCCCTGTGAGTGAATCTACCAATAATGACATCTTTATAGTGTTATAGTTTTATTAATATTTTGAATTTGATGTTATTCTTGTATCTTGTTCTTATTTTAATTTTGTTACATTTTTTGTGATTTTGTTGTGTATTTTGTCATTTTTATTTGTTTATTAGTTTTCAAACATGTCTGTGTAGTTTTTATGAAGTTTTAGTTTATTTAGTTACTTAAACTAAAGTGAAATGAAAAATGTTGCCTTGGCAAATAGCTTAAAAAATAAATCTAGTATGTTTTTTTTATATTTAATTTTATTTCGTTTATTTTATTAAAAGTAATCAAAGTATTTTTTTATGGTTTTAGTTTTAGTTTTAATTAACAATAATACCCCTGCTTTAAACTGAGCTATAAAATATATATTTTCTTCATCTTATTTTCTCTGTCTATAACCACAGGGAAATGCAGGGCCAAAAGGTTTTCCAGGGCCTAAAGGATCCAAAGGCAATAAAGTAAGATTTTACCAAGACAAACTTATTGTGGATTTTGTTTTGTTTAAATATAATGCGCAAATATGGCTTCTATTTTAAATCATATAATATCCAACTCAACTGAATAACTGATTTTTTTAGGGTGCAAAAGGCAAAAATGGTCCAAGTGGTGAATCTGGAAAACGAGGCTCCGCTGTAAGTACGTTTTTCTTACATCATGACAAAACCTACAGCTGATGTTAATATAAACAGTTGTGTTTCTCTCATAGGGTCCTGTTGGTCTCCCAGGCCCCAGAGGAGTTGTTGGTCGTGAGGGTCTTGAGGGTGATCCTGGGGTAGAAGGAGCCCTTGGGAAAGATGGAGTTAAAGGAATGCCAGTAAGACAATGAATGTAATTCTCAATGTTTTCAATGTAACACTTGAAATCGCCCAGGTGTGTTTTGTTGTTTGTGATGTTTTTTCCCTGTTATGCACATTAGGGTGAGCATGGAAGTGATGGGGAGGTTGGTCTGCCTGGAAAACCAGGTCCTCAAGGAAACACAGGTGTACCAGGTCTGCCAGGAATTCAAGGCTCTTTTGGGCCAAAGGTACCTTGCTTATATGCATATATGGTGACCTGTTCTTTATGTTTGTGTGTCATCATTATCTGCATCTATAACAATATTAGCTGGTTTTAGCTTAAATATTTCTCGATGTTCTGACTTAGGGTGAAAGGGGCATCCCTGGCCAAACTGGACCTCCAGGCAAAAGAGGATTTAATGGGGGAATGGGATTTCCTGGAAAACAGGGTGACCGAGGTGTCAAAGGGCAACCTGTAAGTATTGCTTCTCTGACAATTGATCCATTCCAAATATGACAAACACACCAATGAATACTGCTCTAGTGATCTCTTTTGTTTAAATAATGGACCTCTGAGAATAAAACAAAGAACATAATTGCCAAAATCAGACAGTATCTTCTTACACAGCTCTATGTAATACTGTAGTTTGAGTTTCAGTGTTACTTAGTCCTTCCAAAATCATTCTATTAACGTTTCTTATTATTATCATTATTGAAAACAGTTGCACTGTTTAATACATATGTAGAAACTGTAATTATAAGTGCATTATAAATGTCTCATTTGATCTGTCACATTTGATCAATTTATTGCATCTTTGCTGTATAAAAGTATTAATTTGGCCCTAAACTTTCTAAATGGTAGTATATTTGCATGTTTTCAGTCTATTTAACAGTTGATGAATGAATGACAATGCATTTCTTTAACACTTCCTGAAGAATAGTGTCATGCCATTCTACTACTTTTACCTATTTATCATCTATTTATATTTTTCTTTAGGGTGATTCTGGTGAACAGGGATTTCCTGGAGTTCTTGGAATATTTGGACCGAAGGTAAACTTTCTTCTTGCACCAACGTCAGCCTATAAAGTCAACTTGTTATGTTTTGATGATCAAAATTCATCCTGTTTGCTTTAATGTAAGTGAATGATCAATCTAAATGTCTTATTCTGAATGATTAATCAAAATTTTCCAAATTAAAAAAATTTTGTCTTCACAATCTTTCTTCAAAATGTAATCATTTCCTCCATGTCCTTTTTAAACTGATGTTACCAGGCCCATTTTTAAACTGCCATATAGAGACTCTACCTATATTTTTTCTAGGTAAATATCCTGTTTTACATGGAAATGTCACATTACAGAAGAAAAATTATGTCTTTTATATTCTGAGGATATTCAAATTAATTACTGTTTTACCAAAATTATCAAAGAGACTGATAGATGTGCAATGATTACACCACAGATCAAATCTATTTAAGTAAAGCTGTTAGGTGTTTAATAATATATAAAGATGCTTACATAAAATATATCAGTGACTGGTCTTGTGATTAATGAACAGTATAAAACCTTTATATGATTCACCAAAATCCAATTAATCAGGCAAGCAGTTATTGTTTACTTCTCATTTAATGCTAAGCCTTCTAGCCAACAGTGCAAGCTAGCGTTTCATTACAGCTAGAGGCAAGGCAAGTTTATTTATATAGCACATTTCGTATACAATAGTAATTCAAAGTGCTTTACATAAAAGAAAGTAAAATAATCATAAAAAAAAATAATCACAAGAATAAAACAAGGAATTTAAAAACTTTGAAAATGATTTAAAAATTGATATAAAACGAATTTAAGACAGTTAAAAATAGGATTTAGTGTCATGGACTTCGATTTCTGTACAAGCTGTACAAGCACTATAGCTTAAGATGAAAAATAGCTTCTTTAAGCAGATTTAAAGGGTTAGTTCACCCAAAAATGAAAATTAGTCCATAAATTACTCACCCTCAAGTCATCCTAGGTGTATATGAATTCCTTCTTTCAAACGAATCCAGTCGGAGTTATATTAAAAATTGTCTTTGATCTTTCAAGCTGCTTAATAGCACTCAGCAGGTGTTGCATTCCTTCAGTCCAAAAGAAGTGAAATAAAAAGCGCCCATCCATTAAAAAAAGTGTCTCACATGGCTCCGGGGGGTGAACAAAGGCCTCCTGTAGCGAATCAGTGCATTTTTGTAAGAAAAATAACCATATTTAAAACATAATAATCACTTTAATGTAGCTTGCGCCAGCAGTTGTACACAGAAGCAGTTCCGGGGGAATGACGTATGAGTTCAGCGTTGTGCATGCGCCTTGTACTTCTAATTAGTGACCGTTGTTTTGTTTTGATCTGTCCACTGCGCTTCCGTGTTCGTCACTTCTGAGTGGCACATGCGCAAAGCCGACCTCATTCGTCATTCCCCCGGAACTGCTTCCGTTTACAACAGTGAGCGCAAGCTAGATTAAATTGATTATTACGTTTTAAATATGGTTATTTTTCTTACAAAAACGCATCGATTCGCTGCATGAGGCCTTTATTCACCCCCCGGAGCCATGTGAGACACTTTTTTTTATGGATTTTTATTTTATTTTTTATTTCACTTCTTTTAGACTGATGCATGCAACACCTGCTGAGTGCCATTAAGCAGCTTGGAAGATCAAAGACAATTTTTATTATAACTCCGACTGGATTCGTCTGAAAGAAGAAAGTCATATACACCTAGGATGACTAGAGGGTGAGTAATTTATGGGCTAATTTTCATTTTTGGGTGAACTAACCCTTTAAGAGAGCTAGTCAAGCAAACCAAACAAAAGCTGTGATGTAATGATTTTCTGTATTCTGATATTGTAAGGCCAAACAGTTTTGACCAGTGTTTGTGTCATTCACAGGGGCCTCCCGGAGACCTTGGCCCAGTGGGTATCCAGGGCCCAAAGAGTCCTCAGGGTTTAATGGTAAGTACCACTGTGAGAACTGTCCTGAAAACCTAAATGAGATGGATGAAGAGTTCTTGATCAGCAACTACTGTAGGTGTTTCTTCTTTTAAGGGTATGCAAGGAGCCATCGGACCCGTTGGTATCATTGGGCCCAGTGGTAACCCAGTATGTATGATATGAGTCACTTAAGGTAGCTTGATGGTGGTTTCTAATTAGGCGCATATTCTGAAAAACACCCTTCTCTTCCTCTCTTTGTATTAGGGACCACAAGGAGAAAAAGGAAATAGAGGGGAAATGGTAAGAATCTAGCGGGAACAAATTCTAGGTGATTTCCAACTGAATTCACGGATGAAAAAGGGTTACCTACTAAAAATTGCATTTTATGGTTCTCCTTTTATTTTAAACAGGGTATTCAGGGACCCAGGGTATGTTTCCCCAATGCCCTTCAACCTTACTTGCCTTTTTACATTTAGATAAATTAAGTGGTACTATTTAACCAACATAAAAATGTTCTTTTCATTCTCCACTAGGGACCTCCAGGTCCTCGTGGACCACCTGGACCTCCAGTAAGTAGTCTTGATGCATTTTCACAACCATTGTGAATAGTATGTATCATGCTTGAGTTGCATTTAGCTGAAGCTGATTGTAATCAATGCTTTCTGTTTCTTTATCTCATTGGTTTATAGGGGCTTCCTGGTGTATCTTTTTCTCCTGTAAGTATACCTTGTATATCTTTGTCTAAAGAAATTGAAGTCCAAGACACTAAAAGTTCTTGATAGAGCTAGAGCATCTCTACAGGTGCTATGATGTAAATGTACAGGGGTGCACTTAAGAGGTGTGCAGCTGCGCAGACACGACCAAAATAAAAAAATGCGCTGGGTAAATAAGCGCTACCAGTTTCAGAGCAAAACGCGAAACTGTGACATTTCTTTTCCTGACACGCTTCACTCAGCAGCACTAAAACCAGCAGTGCATATACTGTACTTACTTCCCGGCAACCCGCCAAAATAAAAGCTTGCTGATTTTAGCTTTGAAAATTTAGGAAATGTATATAATAAATAAAACTGTAAAAAACAAAGAAGTAAATATTAGCATTATATTTATTAAAGGGATAGTTCACCCAAAAATGAAAATGATATCATTAATTACTCACCCTCATGTCATTCCAAACCTGGAAGACCTTTGTTCATCTTCGGAACACAAATAAAAAATATATTTTTGATGGAATCCGAGAGCTCTCTGACCCTATAATACATTTTCTTTGCACGCTAAAAGTATTTTCATAGCTTCATAAAGTTACAGTTGAACCACTGATGTCACATGGACCATTTTAACCACGTCCTTGCTACGTTTCTGGGCCTTGATCGTGGTAGTTGCATTGCTGTCTATGCAGGATCAGAGAGCTCTCGGATTCCATCAAAAATATCTTCATCTGTGTTTCCAAAGATGAACGAAGGCTTATTGGGTGAGTAATTAATGACAGAATTTTAATTTTTGGTTGAAGTATCCCTATAAGTGTACAATAAAATTATTGTATTTTTATTTAATAAGCATTTTTTATTTTTAAATATAATAGTATTATCACACCTTATTTATTATTTTGTTATTTATTTTATTAAGAAGTTTAAAAACTAAATAAAGTGCAATAATACTATAATACTATACTAGTGTTCATTATTTTTATAGCTATATTTAATGGGTCACACTATGTGCAGTGTGAGCACCAAACCAAATCACCAGATGCTCTCATGAAAACCAGCCTGAAAAATGTATGTACACCCCTGTAAATGCACTCTACATTAAAAAAAAAGAATTAAGGTACACTTCAAAAAATGATTTAAAAGCCTGTCCTGAATTTAACTGGTTATTTCATTCATCATCAACCCACCAACGCAAAATATTATTGTGGTCTTTACACTTGACCACTTGTCTACTTACATGACATACTGTATTTCCATTGTTTTTTGCTGAAGTGTTCAAGTTGTCGTTAAGACCACAGGTGTGTGTAGAATTTTTTTTAAATACTCTGTTACTGTCCACCAATGATAAAATATAAAACAACAACACCAACATGACAGCCGATACACCACATATTATGAATTGATTAAAGACTTGATCTAATAAACTTTTTTCATATTAAAATCAGTTTACTTTCAACTTCCTTGACATTCCTGCTCTACTTTGTTATCTCTTAGGAAAATGAGGCTCTTGGTGCTGCTTTACATGTTGTTATGGATTCCCGCTCTACTTTACGGTCCGAGGTAAGTGCCAACAGTGTTCAACATCAAGTAATAACTACTACTGTTCATTTTAATGTCATTTGAATGCATAAACAATCATAAATTACAGACATTTGTTTGTATACATTTTATACAGTCAATTTCATGGCACCGATTACAGGTTAGATAAGGAACATTAACGTTATGTCAGGACATCATAGACCTGACTTTGTTTCATTCCAATCCACAGACGTATGAAGACACTGAGCTTCTAATGCTGGACCAGGGAACCCAGATCTTTAAGACTCTTCACTACCTCAGCACTCTAATCCACAGCATCAAGAATCCTCTGGGAACACAGGAGAATCCTACCAGAATGTGCAGAGATCTGTTTGAATGCGAGCACAGGTTGAACGATGGTGAGATATTTCTAGGACATTATCATTGTAAATGTCATTGTTTTATCTCTAAAGCTACATTAACTCCACCAATTATGGACTCTTTCATTTTGTTTGTATTTTGTATTTTACTAAAGGCACTTATTGGATAGATCCTAACCTGGGCTGCTCTTCTGACAATATTGAAGTGACCTGCAACTTCACCAGTGGAGGTCAAACCTGCCTTAAGCCAGTCGCTGCTTCCAAGGTCTGTAAAGCTGACAACTAGCCATTATGAGCAGGATTGCACTGAATCTGAACCTGCAGAATACTGATTTCTGTACAATTTAAATGGCCATAATTCAGCAAACTCTGCTTTTGTGTATCAACATTTCTTCTCCTTTATGTGGTTCCATTGTTGTAATCAATTGATTATGATGTTATTTCTTTCCTGAAGTTGGAGATTGGAGTGAGTCTGATCCAGATGAACTTCATCCACCTCCTGAGCTCTGAAGCTGTGCAGATCATCACCATTCACTGCCTGAACGTCTCTGTTTGGGCAGCAGGGGACTCCAAAACACCTGCCTCTAGTGCGGTGTACTTTAAAGCCTGGAACGGACAGATAATCGAATCTGGGGGATTCATCGAGCCTGAGCTGATAAAGGACGAGTGCTGGGTATGCATAAAGTTATATTAAAACATTTTTTGTGTTCTAGTGAATAACTTTTTATTTATTTTGAAGCGCAGGGCTCCCAAACAGGGGTTTGTGAGCTAATAAAAAACGAATAATTAATTATAGCAAATGTAAAATTAAAACAGCTATAGTCTGATGCACTGTGTGTTTCAGAGTGAAGCATGGCACTGTGTTATGATACAGTGTTTTCAGCTTTATAGAGAGGCTTGGCACACAATAAACTGCTAAATCTGAACATGTGCTGCAAATTTAACATTAGCACTTGGGAACGCAACGTGCACTAGTTTTATAATAGAATTAGTAAATTACACAATTGTAATTTATATATATTTATATATATATATATATATATATACACACACACAGTCAATTTTGCAGTGTTAAATTAACTCTATAAGAGTTGAATTTAACACTCGGCCCGAGTGTATTTGGTCCCACTCAGAATTGGTGATAAATTGACTCTTGTCATAGTGTTAAATTTTCAGAGTTAAATTAACTCTATTTTGAGTAAAAAATTAACACTGCTCAACACTGAATAGTGTTACCAGAGTTTAACACTAGGGGAAATTAACTCTGTTCTGTGTTACCACAATTTAACTCTGCAGGAAAATTTACTCTGATTAGTGTTAATATTTCACTTATGTAGAGTTCATTTACATTTATAATAGTGAAAAATTATCTAATTTAGGAAAAATTTAAATCGCATCATATGACCCCTTTAAACTGAAGGATATTATTGCATAGTGAATGTTAAAATAGGCTACTGCTGCTTTTATTCAATTATCACTTGGAAAGAGTGACTAGAATATGTGCAATCTTAGATATCAATACCATGGACCATTAGTTCAAGTTGGGTAGATTACTTACAAGTTGTAGTCCGTTACTGATTCCAAATTACATGACAAAAAAACTGTAGTTAGTAACGTAATCACCTCCCATTACACATTTTAGGTAATTTAATCAGACTACTTTTTGATTACTTATAGATTACTTTTGACTTTACTCCTTTATCACATTGATTTAAATAGGATAATCTTGTACCATATTGATATACAAATACAAATAGTAAGAAAATATATTCCATTCATTGTGATTAACAAGAAGTGCATTAAACATTACAAGGTTTCCCAAACTGGGGTTCGGATATTAACTGAAGGAGGTTCAAATGAAATTAAAATGGGTTTAATGAAAAGCTAATAATTAATTAAATCATAAAATGTAAAGTTAAAATAAATAATTTTAAACTAGCATCCAAAACAAAATAAAAACTTACAAAAAAAATTAAATATTTGTTTACCTGCATGTCATATGTGACCATTAACCAACGTTAGAGAACCATGAACATGTAAATGTGATACTTAATTATTAAAATATTTATTTTAAAATCTTAGTGGGACTTCAAATAGATATATTAGGTGAAAGAGGTTCAAATGACAAGAAAATTGGGGAATTTCCGCATTCCAAACAACGTCAATATGTGCATTGCAGGGGCGCCGCTAGCAATTTTGGGCTCTATGAAAGAATATGAGGTTGGGCCCCCTACCGCACCAAACATACACTATATTGCCCAAAGTATTGGGAAAACTCGAGTACAAATCTTAATGTTTAGGCATATAATGATATTCTAGGGAATTGTGTGCTTCTACTTTTATACCAATAGTTTGAACAGGACCCTTTTCTATTCTAACACAACAATGCCTCTGTGTATAAGACAAGGTTAAAAAAAAAAAAGATTGCTGCAGTCAGTGTGGAAGAACTTGACTGGTCTGCAGAAAGCCAAGTCCTAATCCCAGCTGAACACCTCTGGTGTGACTTTAAATTCAGACCTTGAGCCAAAAACTCACCACCAAACACCAATGACTTGTACATACACTACATGGACAAAAGTATTGGGACACCCCTTTCTTTAGAACAGAAAAGGGCACTTCCAAAACTGTAGCAACAAAAATGGAAGCATAATTCATGCATTTAAAAATTGTATTTCCATCTCTGTTGCTTCAGTTTTGGAAGTGTCTAAAATGACTGTACCCATATGTACAAGATCATTGGTGTTTGGTGATGAGTTTTTGGCTCAAGGTCTGCATTTAAAGTCACACCAGAGGTGTTCAGCTGGGATTAGGACTTGGCTTTCTGCAGACCAGTCAAGTTCTTCCACACTGACTGCATCAATCTTTTTTTTTTTTTACATTGTCTTACTCAGAGTCATTGTTGTGTTAGAATAGAAAAGGGTCCTGTTCAAACTATTGGTATAAAATTAGAAGCACACAATTCCCTAGAATATCATTATATGCTTAAACATTAAGATTTGTACTCATGGAAATGACTAAAGTAGTCAAATCTGTTCATTAGAAGGGGGTGTCCCAATACTTTGGGCAATATTGTATGTTTGGTGCGGTAGGGGACCCAACCTCATATTCTTTCATAGGGCCCAAAATTGCTAGCGGCGCCCCTGAATTTAGGTAAAGGGGTGCAGAGCCAGTGGTGGTTTTTGAATTTTATGCAAGCAGCTATGGTAGCCAGTGCAAATTGATAAACAGAGGTGTGATTAATTTTTAGTGAATGATAAGACATCCTGCCTCTCTCTGTGGTTCCGTGTGTATGTTAATTTGAATGTAAAGCTCAGTAATGGTCCATTGTCCACAGAGCTGGGTAGTAACCGATTACGTGTAATCTGCGTAATCAGATTCCAAAAATTAAGTAGCCTACTTGTAACTAGATTAAATTACATTTTAAAATAGGGTACTCGTAATTAGACAACAGTTATCCTACTTTTTTAATCGATTACATGATTACTTATTATTAACACAATAGGAATAAATTATTCATAATTTATTGATTCTCTCTAATTACTCTTTTTCCTTTCGAAATGTTCCTTTCGAAAGTAGCCTACCGCTTATGTACACTCAGATAGTCGTCCAGTTTTATGGATATTCACACAAAGATCAGTCATTAATCAGGTGGCTACGCCGCATTTGACCGCTGGATTTACAGAAATAATTTCAGGTTTAAGAAGTGTTTCAACTGCATCAACTGATGATGAAAACATTGATTTTGAATCATCACTCACGAGATTATAATGTATTAGGCTACTATGACTTTGGAAGGCTTTTGTCTTTCAAACACAATACAACTATTCAAAATCTTTGTCTGCAATTTAATAATATTGACCTATTAGCCTACTTTTGCTATTGCTTTTGACCATTAGGTATCAGTAACATAATTCATTCAGAACCTGTTTTATGGACATATACTTTCTGTACCACACTATTCTGCTGATATGGAATGAGTTTGACTACTTAATCATTTATATTAAAGTTATATTAAAAAAATCCTAAAATAATAAATAGGATACCCCATTACACCAGCATTTCCAGCAGTATCCAACATTTCTCAATCATGATCTTACTCAGCTAAATGTGACTATTAGCTTACCAGCTGTATTCCTTGTTTGCTAGCTATGCACATACAATGTTAAAAATGTTCTACATTATGAACCTTAACCCAAAAATCTTTAGCTTCATACACTGTAGATAATTGTGACCCTGCCTGTGGAAAGTTTTTTTGTTTTTTTTAACAGTGGATGAGTAATTCACTCCTTGATTTGCTTAATAAAAGCCTCCTTTGAGATCGTTTTGACTGACATGTTTATTGTGTATTATTTTCAACGTGTTTATTGCTAAGTTTAGTTTGGTAAAATAGAAGCGCAGCCATAATTCGCGTGCAGTGTATCCGGTTGCCATGACAACCTCACACGCTTTCTGCTGCTGCTCTATGTAATCAGAGTGTGAATTTGTAGATTTTCAATAGCAAAACTAAAATGTGTTTAAAAGTGCAACTGACCAAATCATCCGGCTCAGAACCCCCCCTCTTCCTCTAATTTGACAGTTTACCATCTGATTTCACTCACTTTAGGCAACGTAGGACGGGACGAAACCATGATAATTTTGCAGAAATAAGACGTAATTTTGTTTTATTTGTAATAATAATAATAATAATTCATTACATTTATATAGTGCTTTTCTAGGCACTCAAAGCGCTTTACATTGTCAGGGGGTATCTCCTCATCCACCACCAGTGTGCAGCAGGTACTGACCAGGCTCAGCCCTGCTTAGCTTCAGTGGGCAACCAGGCTTGGGCTACAGGGTGATATGGCTGCCAGGGTGATATGGCTGTAAAACGCCCCTGCCTAAATTAATTACTTCAGAATTATGTGCCTCTAGAAGCTTGCGTTCTGCAAGTGAACGTCGCTTTATTGTGCCATCTCAAAGAGGCACAAAATCACTTTCACAGACTTTTAAATTAAATGTTCCCTTCTGGTGAAAATGACCTGCCCAACTCAATCTGAGCAGCTGAGTCCTTAGCCATCTTCAAGAATCGGCTAAAAACACATCTCTTCCATCTTTATTTGACCCTCTAACTCTATCACTCGCTATTCTAATTCTATTCTTTAAAAAATCTTGCCCCTTTTAGACTTGCACTCTCTTTAGTTACTAACTGCTTGTTTTCTTGAAAAAAAAACACTAGCTTCTTTAATCTTTTTGTATTCTATTTGTTTTCTTTTTATTTATTATACAATTAACAAAAGCAAAAAAGTCCTCTAACACTAGCTTGCTCTGTTCTTTTTCTATTCTATCTGTTTTCTTTTTATTTATTATATAATTTAAAAAAAAAACTTGCTACGTGAGTTAAGCTAACTGAGGCTTGTTATAGCACTTGCATATCATTGCTCTTTTGTTTATTTTAATTGCTTCCATTGTCCTCGCTTTGGATAAAAGCATCTGCTAAATGACTAAAGGTAAAGGTAAAGGTTATCATTCATCCCAGAACGTGCTAGGACTCCCCCTGCTTTTAGTACCAGTCTGCTGTATTTACAACATACCAGCAGGGGGTGATGGGACCATACTAACCAGCAAATCTTTGAAATATTTCCCCGTTTAAATTCAAGTAGCTATAGGCTATAAAAGCCCAATCTCATCTGCTTGCCCCATAATTCTTCTAGTCTAAAATAAAACATTTTAGTGTTTGATATTGAATAACTATAAAACTTAATGAACCAGAAAGGAAAGATTAGTACACTTTTT